AACCCAAAAGACTGAAAATATCCTCTTACCAATCAGCTGACTGATAATGTGCGGCTCCACCAAGTCGACGAAGGTTCGGAAGTCATGACTCCGCGTCTTTGGACAACGGGATGAATGAAGCCACCCGAAACCGATTATGGCTGAACGTACACAGTCATATGCAACATATCAACGCCTTTAATTCGAGTCTCATTCACAGTTAACGTCGTAGATTCCTACTGAACCAAACATCTTGTTAGTTTATAGCCGGATTTATTACTACGGCCAATACCATTCTTATCTTCAGTGGATCTAAGTCATCCCTTAAGACGTTTGTATTTAGATATGGTTGCATGCCACCCGAAATGAGCATGGCGATTATTTTGAGACCGAGGTCTAAACGAAATTTTTAACTTGAACTGTCTATTTGACAAACATATGTTTTGGACAATTCATCATCGGGCCGGTACACTTGCATGGAGAATGGGACATTCAGTTACGTAAAATGCTTACATGGTTCTCGTGGTGTGGGAGTGGGTGGGTGCTTAGTCATTTCTTCGATGCCTCGTCTCGTTCATGCCAAAGTCGGCATGTTGACGTTGGCGTGCTACCTAGTTTACTTCCTGGTCCACCTCTTTACTATCAAGTTATTCTGACCACCACCATCGTCGCCGCTACCACACAATTCGGGTCATTTTATTGATGCTTTCTGTAGTAACTAGACTTACTAACCCTTTCGAATGAAACCTCTGGTCTGCTCGCTGGTTGTGGTGGCTTATGCTTCAAGCTAGTACCCCTCTTCCTAATATCCAGATCTGACTTTACTGTTGTTTTTTTTAAATTCAGGAAACTCTCTCAGAACGCGTCAAAATGTACAAAGCGCTCAAAGACAACGAATCCGCCCTGCGAGGCAAACGGGAGCAGAAGGTGCGCATCGAGATGTCGCCCAAGGCTGATCGGGCAAAGATTCCAACACTGGAGCGTGAGATCAGCGAGGTACATAACTTTTTGTAGACCGGTTTAATTGGGTTTTGAAATTTCTTAGTGAATAATACCCTTTTAACTAGAGTGCAGACTGCTTGGTAACTTGTCCCGTTTTTTATTTCAAAAAGTCGATTTTTTCTGGGCAATATTCAAAAGGCTAGGGCATTTGTAGATTTTTAATTCAACAGCCTATACCTCAGCCGTAGGCACACAACATCATGAAATATTACTCGATGTTCTGCAATATATTTTCAGTTAAAAATAATTACTGTAGGAATAAATAGTGAGGTCGCCTAATGACAATAGGAGTTGCTCTAATAGTGTGTTATACGTTTATAGGCTTGCTTTTTTAACCAATAGGTGTTGTTCTGATAGTCTTCTTGGTCTTTAATTGCTGGCCAATAGGAGTTGCCCTTAGTCTTTTTTGTTCTTTTCGCGTGCTTTTCACCTTTATTTTGAGTTCAGTAAAACAATTACAAGCGGCTTTATCTTATGTCCTACTGCACACTTATCACGCGTTAAACACGCATTAACTGCCCTTTAATCAAGCATTAGATCTTTACCCAAGAATTCCATCACACACTTCGGCTGAGATATTTGTGCCATTGGACGGCCCTACGAAAGATCCATTCCTACCAAAACTACTTAGCTGGGGTTGC